GGGGGGGAGGAACCAGCAGTTGGCGTAATGGCTATGTCGTTGAACTCCCATGTAGTCAACCGTGGTTCAAGTCCTGGACCTAGTGGCTTAAACTCATGCCAGATGCATGTGCATGCGTGCCCAAGATCTCGAGAGGAGAATGGACGAGAAAGGATTGTGGTATGGCCATCCCATCTGAGGGGGGTGATTTCTCGCTTTCTGTCTCTCTTTCTCTGTCTTTCTGGCGAGTGCATGGCCCTATAGCAAAAACCTCTCAAAAAAAAAAAAAGGTATATTAATCAGTCGTTCTGAGCCATGGATGACTTTGTACCCCTGAGACGTTAAGAATTTATGTTTAAAATGTATTTCTTCCATGAGAAAAAAGAGGGGCACCTCTAACAGAGCTTTCATGTCATATTCCATCCCAATCTCAGATCACAGGCATGCTCAGGCATGCCTGGTGTGCCCAAGGATGTCCCAGACATGAACCCCGAACCATGTGGCTCCCATGAAATGTTTGACAATGTCCAGATGTATTTTTGGTAGTCACAAGTCTGTGCATAGTTGTTAATGACTAATCTAATAGTTAGAGACCAGAGATGCTGTTAAAAGTTCTGCAAAGCACAGAGCAACTTCCCACACCAAAGGATTATCCAGTTCAGAATATTAGTAGTGCTGAAGTTGAAAAACCCTGACATAGGTGAAATAAAACTGTTCCATTTCACTCAGAAGCACTCTCCTATTTCAAGAGAGGGCAGAAGTAATATACTGCTTACTAGAAGACTAAAGTATAATCCCATCAAGATGCCCTTGCTCTTATATTTCAAAGTTCTCATATTCAAAATGGTATTTTAAAACCTATCTCTTGCAATTATTTTAACCATTAAATATTAAACATGGGAAAACTTTTAGGTTTATATATGGCAGATGATAGTGCTTAACAAATGTTTGTTAAAAATAAAAGCTTGCTTATGAACATATAAGTGTTGGAGTCTGGCAGTAGAGATGAATGACATTCATCCTGAGTACTTCCTGAGCAACTTATTCTTTCTATGCTCTGCTCCTGCATTACCACTACTGAGATGCTTTTGAAAATATGCATTGACAAAGGTCCAGGGAGGTGCTCATACTCACTTTTTGTTCTGGTCGCTCTACAGCTGCACTGCATTTTTCTATTCCTGAGTTTCTCAAGAAGTCTCTAAGATAGCCAAACAGGGTTCCAATTCCATATCCCAAGTAAGTGAAAACCATAACATGAAGAGGTGCCTCCTCAAAGGATTCAACAATGAGCTTATCATAACAATGTGGCTTCCCATTTTGCTGAAAACACAAAAGAAAAATCCAAGGTTAGCATAAATATTCTATGATATTTAAAATTTTAGACTTTCAACTTTTTAATTTTCAAAGAACTTTTTCTTTCACAGAGTTTTTGCTTTAGGGCATGTGCACTTTCCAGAGAGATATAAAGCAAGAAATCACTCCCCACACCGCAAGGAGAATGGCCATGCCACAATCCCTTCTCCTTCATTCTTCTCTTGGGATTTTGGGCACACATGCACACACATTCGGTGTAAATTTTAAGTTGCCGAGTCTGGGACTCCAATGACATGATCATTACACTATCTGCTGGTCCCTCAAAGAACATATTTAAGATTGTAAAAGCTGCTTGGAAAAAAACAGAAAGTCATCCCTGAATAGTAAATCAGAAATGCACATTTTACTTTATAATCCTTAATAAAATAATTGACTTAAGCAAGAATTTAGCTGATGCTCAGACTATGAGGTGACAAGTTAAGGAGGAATAGGGTTTTGGCAAAATGTCAAAGTGTGACATTAATTACCTTAATCACAAACCTGAGGTCACTACCCTAACCAGGTTATCAAATTATATCATCAACGTTGGACCCATCAGCCACTCTATGCTCTTATGATGTAACACAAGCAGCAGTGGGTGGTACAGTGGGGACACAGGGCTTTGGGTTGATCAGGCCATATGCAATGTGCCAAGTTTGTGTCCTAAGGTCTTCCTGTAGACACCAGATGCTCGCATGTTCGCATGGGGCAGGCTAGGGGTTAGACTGTAGCATGAAGACTCTATTTAGGGTCCTTTTACTACCTTTCTCTCTCTCTCTGTCTATCTCATTCATGGAAAAAAAATGAATGAATAAAACAAAAAAAGTACATACTTTTACACAGGGAATATTTAACCTGAATTTGGTCAAACGCTCATATCTAACTAATTTTATAAGAAATATTGGGATACAGAAACATGGTCAATGATTTTATGAGAAAACAATAAGATGACCTAAAATGTAGAGTGTTCTATTTGACAACTAGTTTTGTGTTTTTAGAAAGCCAATCTCAAAAAAGAGTGGAGCCAATTTCCTTGGCATTTGATAGAAAGTAGACAAATATGTAAGGTTTACTGATAAACGAAGCAAGCCAGACATTGTATGTCCCCACTTAATATATACTCAATGTCTGCACTCTATGGCAGAAACTGAAAGATTGGGAAATATAAAATCATGGAGAACAACTGTGGATACTAGAGAGAGTGTGAGAGGAGGGTGGGAAATGAGTGGGTGAGAAGAAGGGATTCAAGGGGAAAAAGAAAGAAGCAAAACATTTAGGGGACACAAAAAAGGAAAATTATCAGTTGACAACACATATGATAATATCTTACTGAACTAATATACAGTGTATTTATACTGAGAAATTTTATTTTGCAAGCTGTAATGATATACAGTGACAGAATGTCTAATACATATTTTTAAACATATAAAAAACAAGAAACAGCAACAGAAAAACCAACCAAATGCAGTATGTTTCTCCATTGGATACTGTTTTTTTTTTTTTTTTTGAGAGAGATTTTTGCTATAGGGCACATGTGCTCACTGGAAAGACAGAGAGAGACAGAGAAACAGGAAGTGAGAAATCACCCACCCTTCTCCTCCATTCTCCTTTCCGGATCTTGAGCATATATACACATGCCTCAGCATGAGTTTAAGCTGCCAGATCTGGGACTTGAACTGCGGTCAACTATGTGGGAGTCCAGCGATGTAACCATTATGCCATCTACTGGTCCCCTGGATACTGTTTTTAAAATTTTTTTGTGTGAAAAAAAATAGATGAAAAAGATGTATTTGAAACAAATGTTTAAATTCAAATGCAGACTATAAATATTAATGAAAAGTATTGCTATAAGAATATTTTAATTTTAAAGATACATGCTGAAGTTAACACTGTTAACTATCCTATTCAGGAGTTAAATATTATAACAACTTGAATTTTCTTTTAAATGGTTCATCATAATCTTATATATTAATGAAGCAGCTTTGGGAAAATGTTAAACTGTAGAATCTAGATGGAGGTTATATGGGTATTCATTGTATTTTTTTCTACTTTTCTATATGTTTGAAGTTTTTCATTATAAAATTTTTAAAGAATTATTTTATTTACTTTTATTATTATTATCATTATTATTTTCCAGTTTGATCAGAGAGACAGAGAGAGAGAGAGGAAGTGAGAAAGCAAGCCACCAGGTCTGAGACTTGAACTATAGTTGGCTATGTGGGAGTCCAGCGCCTTTAACCACCATGCCACTTGCCAGCCCCATAAAATGGGCTTTAAAAACTTCATTTTTGGGGCCAGCATATGGCATAGTGGTTATGTTGCTGGACTTCCATATGTCTGACCACAGTGTGAGTTCTGGACCCATTGGCTTGAAACTCACGTCAGGCACACATGTGTGTGTGCTCAAAAACCCAAGAGGAGAATGGAGAAAGGATTGTGGTGTGACCATCTCTCCTGGGGGTAATTTCTCACTTTCTCTCTCACTTGCTCTGTCTCTCTCCCTGGCAAGTGCCCACACCTTAAAGTAAAAACCTCTACAAAAGAACCAAAAAGCAAAAAACTCTTTATTATTTAAGGTCTAAACATTCTAATAGAAAATAGACTTTTGGCACCAAACCATTCTGATTATTATTTAATTGATAAGCACATAGCACTTCAACCAATAGATGTGCTCAATAGATAAGTGAATAAATCATTTATAATGCCAATGCTTACATTTATTCTTTAGTAAATAATTATATATTCATTATTTTATTCCAGAAACACAAGTCTAAAGATCCTCCATTGCTCAATAAGATGATCCACATACAATGTTAGGATTACTTGAAATTTTTGACTTCTAGTGATTTACAAGAAATTGTTAAATGTTGGGACCAGCAGTTAGCGTAATGGCTATGTTGCTGGACTCCCACATAGTCAACCGTGGTTCATGTCTCAGACCTGGTGGCTTAAACTCACGCCGGGCGTGTGTGTGTGTGCATGCCCAAGATCCCGAGAGGAGAATGGAGGAGAAGGGACTGTGGTGTGGCCATCCCCTCTGGGGGGTGATTTCTCGCTTTCTGTCTCTCTGTCTCTCTCTGTCCATCTGGCAAGCACAGGCGCCCTATAGCAAAAACCTCTCCAAAAAAAAAAAAGAAATTGTTAAATGTCAACCAATATTTAATGTATTAATCTAGCTTTAACATATATATTTAAATGATGTATTATATATTAGGTCATGTTCATTAGAAATATCATTTTATCATTCTTATAGTCTTTGTTATCACCGCTACCAATGCACTCTTGCAGAGCATCTCATCTTTATTTACTCTATCTTATTTGAGCGGCAGCATTTTTGGAATGGTTTTTGACTTAATCATTAAAATTTTTATCCCAAGCCACAAATACATAAAACATAAATCAGTCTAGCAGATTAATATTTTTGAACTTTACATTACTTTTTTTGCTAGAGGGTGTTTGTGTTCATGAGAGACAGAGAAAGAGGGAGAGAAGAGAGCAGTGCTTGCCCCCCCATGGGGAATGGTGATGCCACAGTCCCTTCTGTGGCATCTCTTCTTCTTGTTGGGATTTTGGGTATGCAGGCACACACATGCAGAGTATTTCTCTGACTTTTGAATCTGGGACTCTAATCCATGACATGGTTGGCCATGTGAGATCTAGCTGCCTTAACCAAGCCCAGAGTGGGTTCATACTACTTGTTCTTAAAGCAATTAAGATAAAAACCAGATCTTTGTGTAATGATGTCTAACACTTAAATTAAGATAAAATATTATTAAATATTATTAAAATTATTTTCTTCCTTATTTATCAGGTTACCTCTGTAGACACCCAAATATGCACACCAAAACCCTCTATAGATGCCCAAAACTTACATTGACGGATATTGTTCCTGTCTAATATGTCTTTCCCAAACACTCCCTGATGGTTCAAAATAATGGAAATGAGAGAACATTGCTTTAATATGAGATCTTGAGGGAAAGGTGAGTTAGAAGTTATATGAGACTTCAAAAGTTCATAGAAATATGGAATTACAGTAAGAGTTTATTTTGGTGCAAAAAAATTGAAATTATGCAGTATATTCAAGAGATGAATTTTTCATTAACCCTTTGAATACCCCTCATAATCTCGCCTTGTATATGGGGCATTTATTGGGTGCCTACCCTGAGCAGGAAATGTGTTAGACTCTAGGATTTTAAAGGTGAACGAGGTTGGCCCAGTTCCTGCTCCTGAATTCTTAACCTTCCACTAACTATTGCCTCACACTGGTCTATATCTCTGATAGATGATTGATCTCACTATTCCATCACCAACCTCTAGCTCCTCTCCCTGGCTCTGTTCTACATTGACCTTTCGACTCTTATCTGTCTCAAGCACTTCAGGTGACCTCCTGACCCAGTTAAGACCCTGTTTCCTTCCACATCATGTGCACACACAATTGGCTTCATTGCTGGAGCTGTCCAGACTCTATCAAAATGAGCTAAGAACTTCATGAAGAAAGATTTGATGAAACTTTGTGACTGGTTATGTATGAAGTCAAGAAAGAGGAAAATGAAAAGTTATCTGCAAGGTGCAGTACAGCTTTGCTGACAAGAAAGGGAATTTAAAGAAGAGTTGCTTATTGGAGGGAAGAAAGGCATTAAGCCTGCACAGGACAGGCTAAGTTGGAGATGATGATTGCTTATAGAAATTGGATTGTCTAGAGGGTATCTAGGGATTCAGAAAAAGAGAAGAGACCTAACTGATGTAGTGAATCTAGGAGTCAACTAGTATGATGCCTAGTTTAAGCTAGAGTCGAAGATGTGTGTGATAAGGCACAAATCATAGAGAGGGAAGGGAAGAGCAAAAGACTCGGGACAAAATTTTGGTGCACAGTGCTCTTATGGGTATCACATGAGAAGAAAGGTTAGTAAAGAGAACTCACGTGGGTGAACTCAGATTCTTGATTTAGCCTGTTCACAAACAAACCC